CATTTTCACGTTTATTGTTCAACTACAAAAGAATTAATCTTTAAATACATTTTTGAGTGGGTTTGATAAATTAAGGTTGGACATTTGTTGGTGTTATCTTCCTGAGACTCCCCTTCCTGGGTGATTAAGATCCAACTATGCAAAGATGAAGGGGTAACTGGGATCCCGTGATGATTTAAGGCTTAATATAAGCTTGCAAAGCCCTTAGCCAAAGGAAGGGCCATATCTCAGCTTCCACGGACTAGGAAGCTGTAACTGTTCATAGACTTACTCTCCTAAAGACTCAGATAATTCTGTAGGCCAATGATGGATTCCATTTCATAATCTATGCCCTTTTTATGAGCTTTGTTCTTTATCAAATCATGAAAAAGAAAATGCACTTTATAGGCTGTTTGTGTTATCTGCGTTTGTTCAATTCCCCCCTTTAAAAAGGAAAGTGTGAGCCATAAAATAAAATAATCCTAAGTGGTCCCCACATTATCATTTTCCATTTTGCATGTGCCAGGCAAAAGAATTCCGCCTTCTTCTGCCTGTAGACTAACAGCAACTAACTTGGAACATCAGCTGATAAAGCCTACTAACAATATTTAATTTTCAAAAACTCATTCTTTTGTGGTTGGATAATAAGCTTGAAAGCACAGGCTGTGAGGCAGGTACAGAGAATGACATTAAATACGAACAAGGCATCTGCCAAGCGCAAGGTGAGCTGATAAAATGGAGATGCCCTGGCAGCAAGAAAACACACTGCTCCATTCAATTACAACATCTGCGCAGAATACAATCGCGTCTGTGTTTGGTAAATAGATGAGATCCAGGCCACATTCCTGCATTCCTCTGCGCTTCTGGGCACTCCCTCTTCTCAGACTCCCTGAGCTGTTCCTGCATGTTCTTAGGTGTCATCGCGTATCGCTATAGGCATGATGGCTATATTTAACTAATAATGACAGAGGTTGTCACTAGGTTTTAACTCAGTAACACCAGTCTGACACATCATTTGAAGTATGTCTTCAATTTATATTTGATTAAAATCATAAACATCCCATCGACTGTGCCAATCAGAATGTTGATGCCCTTTCCCTGAACTTTTGTATGAACTTTCTTCAGGTGAATTACAGTAGCTGAAAGGTAAAGAGCGGGAACACGTCTTAAAATGCAGCTCTTGGGGCAGAACAGGCCTTCCTTTTTACCTACATCACATACAGTGAGAATTCAAACTCTCTAATTAGATTCCCCCATATCATGTCATGTGTGCAACTGTGAGGTGTGCATTTTAACTCAGTTGCATTTATTTCAAGATTTTAGAACTGGCAAATATCTCGCTGGTAAAATCAAGGACCTGTGACAGGTATGAAGGACTTGCAGAAACAAGCTTCCCCAAGGATAAAGCAAAGAACAGAACAGTTCACGCAAGGACCAGCGTATTTTTACCACCTTCCATGTGCCAAACTTTTACATACCTCCTCTTATTTATTCCTTACAGTCATGTTGTGGGGTTTATTTCATTATGCTCAATTTGTGGATGAGGAAACTCAGGCTTAGAGAGATTAAGGGCTTGTCCAGGTTCACGGTGTAATTTGCTTTCCTGGCAGTGATAAAGAAAGTATAAGGGAATTATTGTTGCTGTTTCCCTGAACAGAGCCAGCCAGCTATTCTGGGAAAGTCGAAGTGGACACAAGATTCCAATGAAAAGCTCTGAAATCTTAGTCATATTTATAACATGTTATCCTCATTCCCCTCTTTTCTATACCTCTAGGTTCTGCAAGGGATTTATAGACATTTGGTTTTCAAGCAACTTGTTTTCATTAGAAAATAACTTTAAAAATCTAGCGATTTCAAGGTATTATTCCCTCTCTCTGCAAATCAGCGCTTGACCAGTTTACCCACAGCCAAGATGAGAGATGGGAATTGTACAGATATGTGGATTTGAGCCCACTGTTCTCCCACTAAACAGCAGTGCATGTCTCTCATTTCTCAGAGATGTCTGAAACTTCCAAACTAAACAGTTTGAAAGACAAAGCACCCTGGAAAAGTAGCTATCAAATACACAAATTAATAGTCATGGCAAGTAAGAAATGGGGCACAGGCAGACAACTATCTTACAGGTTTGATTTAAAGGGTTCTGGACAAATGTGTCTGCTCTAGAATTTTCTTCCTCTGTTTTTTTCAATGCACTATTTATCATTACTATACCAAATTTTATTTCCTTTTTAGCACTTAAACATTGTCAATAGGAACCATATTGTCTGTTATTTGTTTATTTTCTATTGCCTCTACCTCATTTTAACCAAAGCTCTATAAGACCACTGTTCTATTCACACTAAGTCTTGAAGTCGTGGGTAAGTGTCTGGAACTTTGTAGGGACTTGGTAAATATCTGCTGAAAATGTACAGGATGAAGGACACCAGTCCTTCTACTTTCTTACAACAATGGTTTTTGTGTGTGTGTGTGATTTACCTCCGCTATATTTGGGGAGCTGAGCTCCCTGTCTGTGTTCCCCCATGCAACAATTTGAGGTGATAAAGACAGTATGTACAAGCCTTCTGAGTTACTGTCCTAGTAAGAATTAATGGTTCTCAGAGTTCTTTGCAGATGACAGAATAAAATTCTCAACAATGTGCGGCTCCATATCTAGAAATTACTGCATTTTTTAAGAGTTAACATGTATTGGGAAAGTGGCTCAGTTAATAAGATGCTTTCCAGGCAATCATGAGGACCTGAGTTTGATTCCCAGTGACCATGCAAAGAGCCTGGCATGGTGGCTCACTTGTAATCCCAGAACTAAGGAAGTAGAAGCTGAAGGTGGATTCTTTGGACTCATGGAACAGCCAGTCTAGACAAATAGTTCTGGGAGAAATCTTGTGTCAAAACATAAAGTGAAGAGTGACTGAGGAGGACACTTGACATTGATCTCTTTGCTATATACATACATACATACATATACATGCACACACATACATACACAGAGAAAGAGTTTTTAAAGTTAACATGATATCTATCTCATAAAGGTATATTTATGACATATAATGGAATTTTCTCAGAAAAACCTAGAGTGGGGACCCATAATCTGAGAAATGGTTTACATTTCAACAATACACTGAACTATATATGCTCAATAAGGTTCAGGTACCAAATGAGTAATGAAACAGTTAGACTTACACAATGTTGGATTTGGGAACTGCAGAGAATATAATATACTCTGGCTGTACCTTTAACTTGGGTGTGAGGGTAGTGAGTGTATTATACTTAATGCTCATAACTGGGTGTTTGTCACACACAAATCATCATTCAGATTGTGCAGGTAGCAACAGATCTGCAATTATTTATTAAAGAAGTATGACCTACGTATAAACACACAACTTAGTATTTCATGAAAATACTAAGAATTCAGGTGTTTCTCGCGATTTTGCATTTGGCAGTGTATGAGATGCTGTCATACCTATACACATATACTTCAATTTCCCCATCACCTACAGGTACTTCTTGGTCTTCAGCAAGTGACTTCCAATCCGCATTCATTTATACATACTTACTAATTTTTAAGAGTTGAAATGGAGAAAATGTGTAAAATATATGACTATAATTTTACAATCAGTTATCAAAATGTAATATTTTTCTATAAAGCCATTTTCCTAGTTTTGTGTAAATACAGCTAAGTTGGAGATAAAATAAACTAATGATCTCATCTAATATATATATAAATATATATTATTCAGAGAAAACAGTGAAAAGAATATGAGAAAACCAAGCCTAATTCTGAGTCAAGGCATGGTAATCCTTTAGGCACATGTCACCATGCCTAGAGTTAGCTTTGGCAGAACAAAGCAGCCACTGAAGTCAAACTCACTAGACATATCATGAAACAATAACGCATGATTCCAGGTTCATTAAACTCATGCAATATGACAGAACATTTCATTATTGACACAGATACGAGAAAAAGTGTTATGCTGCTATTTATAATATGTCCTGTGTGTCGTGGAATTGAAATATTTCCAAATCATCAATAATTAAAATTATGAGAATCCATCATTTCACTGACATCTACTTCTACATGAAAAGCTGGCCTGTTTTCAGTGTGCTCACACATATTCTTGTCAATCACAAGCTGTCACAGCAAATTATTTCATTTGGTAGATCACATGGCAGCTAGCAGAAATCTCCAGGTTTAAATATAGATCTTAGGTGTAGTACCGAGAACCTCTTTCATGGAAAATTTCCCCCGTGACTACATCTTGCAGCAGGTAGGGGTTTGCAGTCTTACCATGACACTCAGCCCGTGCTCTCCTTAACAAAGCTCGGGGCAGAAAGGAATTGCTATAAATGATAACCCTGAGAGCCAAATAGCAGAGTACCACATTTAAGAGGTCTACAAACACAGGACTACAAACTCTTAAAGGCAATCAGATCCTGAACACTAGAACTTGGCCCCAGCATCTTTATAATACTTAAGTCCTACTAGGGTATGGCGTGTATCTTTAGCAGATATCAAGTATCTGAACGCTTAAAAACCACAAGGACTGGATCCAGGAAGTTTTCTCTTTACTGACATCAAGCAGAGGCTGTGGAAAACTGAATAAAATCTAAACAATATAACCAAGAATCTGAGAACTTGTTCAAAGGCCTCTTTCTGACAGGATCATTAATAAATGTCATAATCACTCCACGATGGAATTATAAGAACTAGTAAGACATCTTCATGAATAGTCTTCATAGAAAACACTTACACTTCTCTGATTATTTCCATCTTTTCTTTTTTTCTCTTCCATCCTAATCTTTCTAATTAGGTAGTCAATTCAAAATATAGGAAATAGTCTAATTTAACAGGTCAGTCTTGACCTTGGCCTGACCTCTAAGTGACCACTCTGTATTCTGAGGTGTGTGGAGAGCTCTCTTAGTCTTTCAGAGACAGTGACTCAGCTATCAGCAATGATACTCACAGGGACAATGAACAGTGCAAACCATCAGACATGTGCTGGGGGCTTTTTTTCTTTGCAAATTTGAGGTTACTTTTCATAAGAGACAATTTTTACTATCTACGCTGATTTTCTCAAGTTCAGTTTAAAAAAACAGTAAAATATGGAATATAATCACCAAAATACTATGCTGACTTATTTGACCTTCTTGTAGGAGAAATAAAATAATAAATACCTTTTCCTGGGAATCATTGTTGAATTGTGGTTCTCCTACTAAGTATTCACATTATGACCTACAGACTTTGTTAAGCTCGGCAAAGTCCCGGACCTCTCTCCCTATGCCAGTGCTAAACACACAGTAGGCACACAATAAACATGTTTATCGGGTTACATTTTTATTGAATTGAAAATAAAACCCAGGTAGACAACCATGTTCCTTTGCTCTCATCTACTCTGGCCTGGCTGGTTACTTGCAGGCAGAAAGAAACCTCCGAGAAGCTGCTGAGAGGAGACTGAGTTGAAATAATGTCAGGTCACTGACTGGTGCCGCCATGCTGACTGTCTGTAAAGCGCACATGCAGATGGGAAGGTTGTGTCACTAACGCTGGCTCTGCTCAGTGGCTTTCCTGCCCTCAGCAACGCTTACTCCTCCCCATGCTAAGCTCGTCTTCTGTCTGCAAAGTCATCCATACGTGGTTTATTGTTACAGTATACCCGTAAGTTAAGCATCACCCCACATGTGTATGTGTGTGTACAAACATATATTTACATTTATGTTCTCAATATTTTGAAAGTGAACAAACGTTAGTGTTTAGGCGCATCTCTGAGAATAATCAGATGGTGGCTTCCCCCCATTGTCCTTATCCTACATCTTTAAACAGACATGTGATATGCTAGTCGGTGTCCAAGCTCACCTACAATTTCTTCTCTCAAAAGACAAGACACATCTGCCACCTGCTCTGCTCCGTGTCCCAGTAACAACTGTCGAGCAGCAGAAAGATTGATTATCAGTCAGAAACCATTGCACAACACCAGACTTTGGTGGGTTAAGCTTGCTGATCCAGCAGGAGATGGTGTGAAATTTTCAGGAGCCTGTGCCAACATTTTGGTGTAAAAGAACAGCAGTGCATGTCACAATGAAACACAGCCAAAGATGTGCAGACAAAGCACAGAAGTTTTTTTGTTCTTGTTGCTCTGGACTTGGCTATTAAAAAAGGATAAAATGGGGGCGGGAGAAGAAATTAGCTTGTACATTTAAAAACCATCCACCAAGATGTGACATTATTATTTTTTATGTATACTTTCCCAGGAATTTTTTTCTCTTAGTTTACCTACAGATAATCTTTACATATCTCTTTTGTGATACTATTGTTCACTAGAAAACAAGAATTTCTTATCCTTATAAAACTAATCAAGGATTTTGGTGAAGAGATCGTGTATAAATATATGGAGTTTTTAGAATTATAAAAACAGAGTTGCCTAATAAAACATTTTGTGTAAGCAATTGTTTCTCTGAATATAAAATAAGACAAGCGCTGTCTAACATTACAGCAAATCTGAAAGCATGTGAGTCTGAGTCACCGCACAGGGAGGGTGCAGTGGGTGCCACCCCGACAGCTCCCTTATAGGTGCCACGGTGTCCCAGTTCAAGGAGCTGCTTGCTTTCTGATGACCAAGCGTTACCAGCCTGATAGCAATTCCAGTGCCATCTCATACAGTAGCATCAATGCATGGGGGTCTTCCACTGTCTCCTCTGTAATCAACTCCAGAATTAGTTTTTTTGGCTCATACACTCACTGCCTAGGCTTGTCTTTGCTCCACCAACTTTACAAGAGTGGCAGGGAAATTGCTTCTAATGTGGTATCAGAAGCTTTGAGGGCATAGCAGGCAGACTCACTGGTTCTTATGGCGAGACTGACTCTCATGTTACCTAAAGCCACCATCGTGAGGCACAGAGGATAACAAGGCTCCGTACGGCATGCGTGGAAGAATGAAGACACCTCTGCTTTCCTTCCTTTCTTTAAAGGTGTCATTTCACATTGAAAAAAAAAAGATTTTTTCCCCCCTAGAATATCCTCACTTCTGAACTCTTAAATATAAGGATATTGGGGAAAAAACTCCAAGCAGAAACTCTATCTGAGTTTCTATATTTAAACACATAAATATAAATATTTAAAGGTTAAAAATGAAGATTGAGCTGTAATGTTTATTTTATGAGTAATATTACTGGGAGAATCACATGTACATAGAATTATTTGTTCGTTACTTGTCACAATTTCTTAATTATGTTAATGCAATCTGAAAAAAGACCAAGAGCGTAAATGAAAAGATGATCCTGGGAACTCTGAACTATTTTCTGAGAGCACACATCTCATGAATTACGTCTGCTGAGTGCCACAGAAACTAAACAGTAAATTCAATAATCTCTGATTTAATTTATTATATTTTCATCATTTAACCTCCTGCAGGCTCCCTAATGTCTATTCAGATCTATATTAAATTAAGCACCAATGCTAATGAAGGGCAATAAACGTGGCTGTCAGTGGATTTTTCTTTCATTAAGCACATTATCCTCTTACTGAGCTGTAAATGCGTAAACATTAGTTTTGTTAAACCATGCAAAAAAGACAGGAAGAAAATCATTTTTTAATTGCACTCCTTAAGCAATTTATTGTGAAGGAGTACGGTGTTTCTTTTTCTTTTTTTTACCTTTAATTTTTTTGAATGGATTTTAAAAGGGCTCTCCTGTTGAAACATAAACGTTGGCTTCATGGGGTATATCTTCAGGTTTGAGGGCTTCCGTGCCATCTGCCAAAAACACTCGTCGCGCGGCCATGTTCAGATTCAGCTTGTGAGTGATGCTTCCAGCAACTAGAAGAGAGTAACAGGTAGGACACAGTGATCTACAAAGAAAGCAGCACATTCCCACAGAACCAAACCAGGAGGTCAAGGGAGTCACACGTCAGGTTCAGGAGCTCAGTCAGTGACATGGCTGTTTCCCAGCATTGAAAATGCAGAAACAAAAAACAAATCAAATGGCAAGAATAGCTCATTATTTATAAGTATTTTATAAACATTCTGTGTTTTAATTTATAAACAGTCTGTGTGTTAAGAACTACAAAACGCATAGCCATTGTATTTATTTAATTAATCTGCTCAATTCTTAACCCAGTATTCTATTTACTTTAACATAGGAAAGTAGTAAAATTCCTACAACTAAATAAGCAATATACAGGTTCAGATTTACACAACATTTTAACACAATAATTATCTTTCTTATTTGTTTGTATTGTAAAGGAAATAAGAGATAAAGGACTGAAAACGTCGGGCTATTAGTTACCAAGGCGATGGTTGGTGCAGTAATGTTGGCAAAGGCTGTTCCAGATCCATTTGTATAAGCCGTCACTCTAATGACTCGTGGTTGAAGTTTATATCTCTGAGACAATCCTTGGCAATTATGGGGTGACATCCATTTTAGCGCGGACTCTGATGCGCTAAAAGAAGGAAAAAAAAAACACAGAACTTTGTGCATGTTAACAACTTAAAACTTTTTAAAAATGCTGTCCCATAGTTCTCTAATATAAGCACTTAAAATTGTTCCTACAAATAAGAAGATCCCACAACAAAACTTTTGATACAGCAAGATCGACACTGTTTCAGTATCCAAACACACAATAGGATGTTTGCCAAGACTGTTACTCTCTCCGAATGAATCATTCTGACCATTTACTAGTAAAACCCAGAGCATTCTTGTTTAGATTATGTACATGAAGAATTAGAGCCAGTCAGACACCTGCCATGTTCTGACAGCCAAGACAATAGTAGAGGCTTAATAGCATGGGCTATTACAGGGCTAAGATTTTTCCACAAGTGTCTACACTTTGAAAGAAAGTTTTTCATTTTTAAAGGATATAAGAAATTCAAATAGGTTTATTATGAGGAAAATGCTAATTCAAAAGTTAATTTTATTGCCTATATTTTTCCAATTTCAAATTGGAAAGCAATAAGAGTTGAGATTTCTAGGTTTTTATCTTTAGTCAAAAGTAGTTTAGATTTTTTTCAAAAGTACATGGTAAGCTGCCAAAAATATTTCATTCAGAATCTTCTTCTAGTCATTTTCATTTAAAGGGTAGTAAAGTCAGCATTTTAAAAAAAACTTTAAGTAAACTAAGTTAAAACCATAATATACCTGTATATTCAAAACCCTGAATGCAATGGAGATCTTCCTCAGTGCCCGAGTTCTCATCTTTGCCACCTTTTCCTCTTGGGCTAACAGTTTATGACACACCAAAAATGTATGTACAAGATGGTTTGATAACTACATTCTGTTTGATTCTGCTCCAAAATAATGGTTAAAGACCAAAAGCACACGTTTCTATTTAAAATAAATGTCTTCTAAGCAATGCCCTTGCCTCCAGCGTTCGCTTCAGATTTTGATGACCCAGGTTGGAGCGCATCTCATGGTCTCTAAAATGTAATTAGCCACACTCTGACTCCAGTGTTTTCACAGGAAAAATCCAATAATAGCCGAAAACAGAATCCAAATGATACACTATGTTTTAATATCTGAACTAGTCAATGGAATCACTATAAATTCTGCTCAAATAAAAGAGCTTCAACAGTTGGTTAACAAGAAGAGCGAACGGCTTTGATTACCTCGGCTGACCCACTGGCACACTGACGAGTCTCTTTCTCTTGGAAGCCAACATAAAACAAGAATTGTTTTTTTCTCTTGGATTTGCAGCTCTCTGGGTTTGATGGTTCCTCCTGACTGTGATCTGATGCTGTTTGATGTGTAGAACAATCTTGAAGGCCTGACCCTTGTGATACAGCCACTGAAGGCAGAAGTCTGCTGGGGCCAAACTGAAGCTGCAAGCAATCGTCGGTAGTTTTAATAACAGCTTTTGCCTGGTTTGACATGAACTCCCTGAAAGAAACAGCACGTGGGAGAGTACAGTGAATCCACTGTAATGACTTTATTAACATCTAACATGCAGTAAATGCCGTGAGCTATCGGTTAGACAAAGGTACTCAGTCGGGACTTTGAGGCTTGTAATAGTCCCGGAGGGAAGGTAGTATTTGGAACTTCCCTTTACACTTAAGTTGAAAATCGGAAAGGTTAAGTAAACATATACATCATTAGCAGAGGCAGGGTAGGAGCTTGGAGTCAAATGTATCCTACCACTGAGCTTAACTGTTTTATTTAGTTGAACTGAAGAAATCTGCATAATGCTTAAAGATGATAATTTGTAATTTTATGATTTACTTTATTAAACATGAGCAATCTAAGTACTAGGAAATCGTTAAAGAGATGAGGTCCCTACAAGCATAAAGCTTACAAGCTATCCCTCAGTAGTGGATATAGTTTTAAATGAGTATATGAATGTATACTTAAATGGACAAAAGTGATTTAAGAGAGCTGGCTTAGCACTAGTGAGAATATGATTGATATGAACTGTAGAGATGGCGCAGAAGAGGACTGGCTGCTCTTCTAGAGGACCTGCACCAACATCTGCCATCCCGTTCCAGGAGATGCCCTCTTCTGACCTCTGCATGATGCACAGACATGCAAACATACAAAACACTCATACATAAAAAACATTTTTTTTTGAGACAGGGTTTCTCTGTAGCTTTAGAGCCTGTCCTTGAACTAGCTCTTGTAGACCAGGCTGACCTGAACTCACAGAGATCCTCCTGCCTCTACCTCCTAAGAGCTGGGATTAAAGGCATGCTCCACCACTGCCCTGCAAAAAAACAATTTAAAGGAAGGTGATTGAGTTGGTATTGGGATGACTCACTCAGCCCAGTTTACCTAGGAGCTGAAAGTCACGTGTCTCAGAGAAACTGAGACAGGTAGTCACCCACGCCCCAGAATTCAAGGTGAATGAGTGGCATTGAGAAGGACAGGAATGTGTAGACACAGGACCATGTGACCTGGGATGATATGAAATAGCAAGTCACAGTGGTGAGGCAGGTATGGGTTTGATGGTTTAATCAGATTGGACAAGGGTGGCATACTTGAGAACACCCACCAGTGGGAGGATGAGGCATAGAAGATATCTATAGTCTTACACAGGTCTCACACACCTCTAACTGGAGCTACTCAAACATCTACCAAGTTGGTCTCTCTGTTCCTCTGGAATGACACTAGTATTAGTCAAAGTTCTCATACATATATACATGGGACATATATACACACATATATAGTATAGATATATACTATATCTATTCATATATATGTGGGATTTATTAAATTTATTAGAATGGCTTACAGGCTGTGTTCCAGCTAGTCCAACAATCACTGTCTACCAATGGACATTCCAAAAATCTAGAAGTTATTCACTCTACAAGGCTAGATGTCCCAGCTGGTCTTCAGTATATGCCACAATTCCCATGAAGTAGGCCCTAATGCCAGTGAGGGATGGACTTACTTTTGAGAGCGTGGGCAGTCAGGCAAAGAGAGAACAAGTTTTCTTTTTTCAACATCCTTTATATAGGCTGCCAGCAGAAGGTGTGGCCCAGATCAAAGGTAGCTCTTCCCACCTCAAAAGTTCTGGATTAAAACTGTAACTCCCCACCTCAATGATCTGGATTAAAAATGGGTCTTCTCACTTCAAATTATTTAATCAAGAAAAATTCCTTCACAGGTGTCCACAGACATTTGAGTTTTAGTTAATTCCAGATGTTGTCAAGTTGACAATCAAGAACAGCCATCTCAAAACTGCATCTTTGGGGCAGTATGTACTAAAAATATTTTTATCTAATTATGATTCTGGTATGGTAAAAAAAAGTAAATTAAATAATTAAATGACTTAATAAATGATAAAACACAATCACATTTAATAAGTGGGTTAGTAATAGATTTATTTATGACTTGATTTTTCCCTAAAAATTTCTATCTAAAGGCAGAGAAAGAATACTTGATGAGAATGGTTTTTCTTCCCGTTGTCTCTATTTTAATAACATTCGTGAACCTTACTGGCTTATTACAGCAATTTTAAGAAAACTAACAAAAACCATATTTTCAGTCTCAGTTACGGATTTCCACCCCACGTACTTCCATGCCAGCCTCTAAATCCCTCAGCAGTCATTACAATGCAGGACCTTTTATATCTCTAATCTGGAGAATTTTAAATCAATGGCATTCATCCAGGTAATCTATAACCATGGTTGTACTTCCTTCAAAAAGTGTTCAGTTTTAATCTGAATTCAGGACTTACTTTTTTTTTACAGCCATTCCCATTGAAATAATTATGTAATTGAAGAACAGAATGTTTAAACTAATACTCATACATTTACAATTGTAATTGTTATTAACCGTGAAGAAAACACCCTGGTAACCGCAGGGGGAAAGTCACGGATTAGGTGCATAGGAGCTTCACGAAGGGATGTGACACCCAACTGCCACACATGGGGCTGTAAGTTGCCTGACGCGGGTGCTGGGAACTCAGTTTAGATCCTCTGGAAGAGTGTCCATGTTCTGAACAGAGCCGTCTCTCCAGTCCCAAAGGTTAGATTTTAAAAGGCTTGGTCTTGTCTTGTGCAGGCACCCAGAGTTGCTGAGTTCATGTGCGCAAAAGCCACCTCATATCCAGAAGATAGTGATTCACGGCGCTCCTCCCCATCCGCTGACTCTTGTATTCCTTCCACCCACTCATCCGTGACATTCTCTGAGCCTTTGGAGGGAAGCAACCACTCTTCTTTAGGGCGGTGGCTACTGGCAGGTTGCCCACGCCCCGGTGGATTTCCCACACTCTTGTGCATAAGGGCACCACTAATTGGACTCAGTGGGTTAAAAAGAAATAAAATAAAACAACCAACTTGAAATGGTTGGAGATAGAGCTCAGAGTAAAGCACTTGACCGTAGTTCTGCGTTGATCTTAAATACTTAGGGAAGAAGGAGGTGGGGGGACAAGGATTTATATACCGCTGTGTTTGCTAGTTATGTGGTTTGAGGTGATTTTTCTCCATCCATAGAGGAGTAAAAGCCTCTGCTTTTGTATCTTTTCCACTTTCAAGGGAATTCAAGCAGTGAGTTGTGTGTAGAGATTATTCTTGGCCAACTATGGTACTGTGTAAAACGTATCACATAATGCTACTGAACAATTATGGTACTGTGTAAAATGTATCACATAATGCTACTTAACAACTATGGTACTGTGTAAAACATATCACATAATGCTACTTAACAAAAAATAATTTAAGAAACAAAATATTGGAAAGTCCAAGTCAAAAATTACATCAGACAAAGTTGGCTATTGAACTAACAATTATTCCTTCGATTTTCCTGAGACACCAAACTTTGGGCACACTGGGGAACTCTGACTCCTAGTGAAGATGTCCTCTGATTAGTCTCAGTACGCAAATGCCCCGTGGACTAGAGCCAGCAAGGAAATTCTATTTCCCTTGTCCCTGCAGGATAAATAATCTGTTTTTATGTAATTTTAGCCAATGAGACATGAGACGCCTTCTGGGCAAAGTTCTTTTTGTTAGGTGGGCTTTGGTCATCCAAACGTCCCTCTTCTTTCAGGTACTGTTGAGGGAAAGTGTGTTGATCTATCTGGCAAGCAGGAGAGGAGAGGCAGAACAAACTGGCCAGTGTTCTGAGGATTTCAAGGGAAAAGCATGAAGAACTTGTCTTTTTTATAACCACTGAACCACTAAAGTTAGCACTACACTCTGTGAAGTTCTCCAGTGCGATAATAAGAACTTTCTCATTTTAAAAGTCAAGTTCAGCTGAACTTTCTATAATTATCTCCTTGGATTTCTACTACCTTCATAAAGGAAACTACATTAAATGCAAAGTAAATTTAATGTAGCACACAGGTAACCATCTGAATTGTACTTCCTTTGGTTTTAGTTTTATTAATTTTTTTACTATTATTGAAATAATTAAAGGATAAAATATAAATCAAACTGTTATTTACTAAAAATCCAATTTTCATTTCGCCAAAACCATTGCAAGGGAAATTTTATCATAAGCACAAAATGACAGGGAGTTTTTTTTTTTTACCCCCCCTTCCCCTTTGAAACACAAAGCATCCTTGGCAAATTTAGATTTCTATAGAGTAAATCTGCATGTGGCTAATAATTCTATTCATAAGTGAGAAGTGTGGCTACTTTGACAGACCGTGGCTCAATAGCAAATATGCAGGTCTAACTTATCACAGAGTTTAGATGTGAATTCAACAGCAGGATAATGACAGTTGCCAGGGATTTGTGCTTGCTGTCACTGCATCCAGTGTTGCCTGTCAAAATGTCTCTTTTTCTTATACAGAAGCCATAGAATTTTTATGGATAGCAATTATGTACAATATACAATGAAGTACATCAAATCTAACAACCACTCTTTAGCCCTTCATTATTTGGTAGAGTCTTTGTTAAATGTATCAACCATTTTCATCTAAATTATTTATTTATACTGTATATTTGACAAGCACACATTTCTTGCTTTATATTCCAATGACATTTAAACCTTCATAAAGGGCTATGTGTCTTTTTTTTAAAAAAATTATCATTGTAAAACTTACCTTTATCCTATTATCACTTTAATGGCAATTAAACTCTCTAATTGAAATATATTCAAGTAAGAGTGCATAAATGCCAAGGATATGACCATGAGTATGTTGATAACACACCACACATTTGAAACACTATAATGCAAGCAATAAATGAACAGCTTAAACTTTTGTTTAATAATTTTTAATAAAACCTCTGGTATGCACAAAGTACAAAAATTCATTAAACTTCTTGCCCTCCCTTTAGCTTACTTAAACAAAAAGACACCAGAGATACAAATAGTATCCTTCAAATTTTCTGATGTTATTTGAGCATCATAGAAAGTAAATAATTCATGGTAATAATAAAAGTGCAGAATTCTCTGTAGAGTTTATTCCCAACTCTAGAAGAAAAGTATAAATCTAGTGC